TGTAAAATGACTGTCTTACTGTGTCCAACCTCGGCAGCGATGGCGCGTTGCAAGAGGCCTTTCTTATGTAACCTAACAATCCTGTCACGTTCAAAAACAGAAAGCCTTTTTGCCTTTGCCATCAGGGGGTCATGACAGTCTGAATACCTGATAGAAAATTACATGAAAGCCAGATTTTTGCACAGATTTGAACTTTTTAAGGCTTTGGTCTTAAACCTTTGATCAGCTGATGAACAGCTTGTTTGAGTTTAAATGCAGTTTTCAATAAATTGCCTACTCTATTGCTTTTTTGTCTCTTGCTCCTGTTTCTTCATTTTGCGCTTTGAAGCTCTACTTACAACCTGTGAATACTTCCACTAATTTTTCTCCCGGTCTTAAGATTTTGTTCAGGAGGGTATATGACCACCATCTAGCCTGTCCTTATTCCTATGAAGTGTGTGTGGAATATAATTTTTAGCAGACTTTATTCGTTAAACTGGGCCACTTTTAGGCCCCACTATTCACTTCCAGTCAATGTAAATGGACTGCACTTATATAGCACCTTTCTAGTCTTCCGATCACGCAAAGTGCTTTACACTACATGTCACATTCAACCATTCACAGGCATTCATCCACTGATGGCAGAGGCTGGTATGCAAGGTGTTAACTACTCACTAAAAACTAACTAACCATTCACACACAATGCAAGCAATTTGGGATTCAGCATCTTGCCCAAAGACACATGGACATACAGAGGGAAGGGCCAGGGACAACCCACTCTACCACCTGAGCCACAGTCATGATGTGATAAACGTTCATCAAGCGTGTGCTCCTCAAATCAAGTTGTTGTCTATGTTCTCCAAATTAAACTGCTAACCAAGCTTTGATACACAAAATCAAACAAAACAAAGTTTTCTCAGTCATTTTTAAGTGTGTCTCCAAGTCACAAAGACTTTTCTGTTGGCAATGGTTCAGCTTTATACCAAGTGACAGCTATAGGGCAGGCTAGAATGTTCGAGCTGTGGCATTTCTTCCAAGAATAAATGAATGCTACAGCAGCATGGTGCACATGACTAGATGAATGCTGGAGCAACGTGGAGTAAACCTGACAGCGAACACCTGCCGATGATATCTAACCAAACACTGTGGGCTCTGCAGGAATCTGCACACAACTTTACTTTTTTCTATTTTCGTTAAAGCGGAGCTACACATGAAATTCACAGACCTGTAAGAAACATGCGGAAAACATATACATGAATATATTACACATACAATAAACACCAGCAGGCTCGCAAACATACACACTTCCTCCATCTTATTCACGTGTTTATGCATGCAAATACAGTCGGTTCTTCTTTAACACTTACACACACATAGACACCCCCACACGCCCACATGCATACACATATACATAACATGCTACATAACAGAATTGGGAGAGATGTTTGTCTGAGATGGCAGGGGCTTTGATTTGCTGTGGCTGTCTCAGCAGGCAGCGTATGAAAACACAGCAGTGATACAAGGAACAGTCAAATTAACAAGCTGAGGAAGGAGGAGGAGGGGGTGGAGAGAGGAAGACAACAAAGTCCAAACAATAACTGAGAGGTGGGGAAAGTCTGGGGAACATTATACAGAGCCCTGGCAAACAGTGGAATTACATTTACTCTAAACAGCTCTTCCACTGGCAGCATTTCCACTGGGGAGCACTCCTGACAGCTTCTTGTGTCTGATTTTTTCCATTTGAAAAGAGAGGTTTTGTTGACACCATAGGGAACTGAGTGTGTTCTTTAAAGCTCTTAAAACACCAGGTGGAAGCATTTCAAACTTAGCAAAACAGGTGCGGCGCAACAGCTTTTCAACAGTCACACAGAACGGCGGGATAATGCCTCAGTTCTCCCAAACATAAGTGCACATAAAGTGTAGAAAAGTGGCCTACATTTCAGTAAATTGCATGGGATTGTTTGATTGTAGTACAGGCCCACCCTGAAATTACTGCAAATGTCATGTTGAATCCACACCTTCTTCTGTCCTGCCACCAGGAGACGCAGTGACACTCACTTTAACTTACGTCTGTCCGACAGGCCAGGCCTTCAACAACACTGTGGTATCGTCACATTGAAAAACAACAATGGAATAATGGTGAGTGAGGTGTGTATTTTGAAAGGGACATAAAGACATAACCTCATGTGATATATATTCACATTTATACATATGAGTTTTTGCTTTTCACATGTAATGAAAATGCACATGATATGAGAACATGTGCTTTAGCTACTTAGTTCCTATGTCCTATTTAACTGAATAATGTATTTAATCTTTTACAACATTCATACAGTACCAATGAAAATGTGCCATGTATCCAAACCTACATGTTGGGGATGATTATGTTTATCTTTGCATTAGTAAGACGGTTGTGTTCTTGATGAAAAACACTTCTACCGCATGTTCATCTTTTCCAATAGAGTAGACTTCTCTTGCAGTTCAGTCATGTCACTGCTGGAAGGCTAATTGTTGTAATGATGGTTAGTATTGTGAGTTAGGGATACTCACACTATATGACAAAAGAAAATAAGAGCAATTGACCAGACCACTTGCATGCATTGTGTCCTGTGAATCCCTTGTGGTTAGTTCTGAATCTGAATCTAGTGTGGGAATGGCGGACTCCACCACCACTACCAGTATAATATATATTGAGAGGTTATTACTGAATGTGAATACGTTGAATGGCTACTGCAGAAAAAAAAATAAAAATTTGGGTCAAAAATTTGGGGTTCATTTATATATATATATATGTATATATATATACATATATATATACATATATATACACACAGGAATGCCCCCCCTCAATCAATCAATCAATAAAAGAAGAGTTCCAGGTGTTTTCATGGAAAAGTACAGTAGGAAAACTGTGAGACTCCTTAATCTTTAATGAAATACTTGGAAATTGCAGATTGATACCAGTTTGAAAACTTAATTGGTAGAACATGCGAGCAAGACATTTCTTATTATTAATTTCCCAAAACATTTTTGGGTAATAAAAAAATCTAAATCTAAATCTGTCTGGCAGTTAAATAAAGTATGGTTGATATGAGTAATGAGGTGTCCTTCCACATCTTCTGTTCTTCTTAGCTGTATTAGCACCTGGGACCTGAGAGCATTGTGATTGGTGAGAGACTAGACAGCCAGCATCTGTCTCTCTCTCTCTTCCACTTAATCCCCCCCCCCCCCACCCCCACACGCACGCACGCACGCACGCACACACACACACACACACACACACACACACACACACACACACTCTTACACATGCTCACACAGCAGTCCAGACATCTGCTGGGGCTCTACTGGGTCTTGCCACTGAGGTACTGGGACTCTTACAAGGACTAAAGATACTTCAGCGGTAATGACACGTCCCTATTGGCCAGACCGGGCAGAAAAACAGGAAGTGGGGACAAGACTGAGTGTCGAAGAGGTCATCCATCTTGGGAGGGTGATTTAAATACAGTAGAAAAGAGTCACAGAGACAAAGACAGATATAACGTCCTCTGCCTGAGGCCAAGGTAGGAAATGTGAGTAAGTTTCAGGCACTGAAAAGATTCCAAAGAGAACTGAGATATGCTTAAATTAGTAGTAATAATGAAATTATCTTTCAATAGAGGTTTAAAAATGGCGAATTTCATGGATTCATTTTTGGTTAAGAAAAGTGGCTTGTACGACTTTAATTTAATTCTATTAATTAATGTATATTTTTGGTTTATCATAGTGTTAAAAGGTAGAGTCAACTTAACACTATACACTATAATATGTAACATTTCTGCACTAAAATGTCTATAAACTCTAGAGCTGTTATATATCTCTCGCAACCCCACCAAGATGTCCTTTGTCTGCCCAACAGTGTGGGAGAAACCCCAATATTTTTAAGGTGGAACTGCTTTATTCAGTGTTTTTACCGTTTTTAATCCTCCCAGTAGAAACCTTCACTGAAGGAATCATAACCGGGAGAAGCTGACTGCAATGACAGCCATGGTGGTGAAGACACTCATGATCCAATATTATTTCATGATGTCATAAAATGTTGTCTTTTGTTATTGTTGACCACTTAGCGGCAGAAATTACATGTTGTACATTAAAGGGTGTAGTACTATGAAATATGGATAAACTGCACATTCAATGTGGGCATTGTAATATTTCTATGAATATGTTAGATTTTAATATTGACTGTAAAAGACCCATTTTTCACCAGTATTATTATGCTGTATATGCTGTAGTGTTGTGTGTAGTGCAGTTCTTTGTGTAAGAACCATTATACAAACTAGTGTATAAGTGTACAGATGATGTGATTGGGGAACAGGAAGTGCAGGGCTGGCAGTGTTACCTTGGTGTGCAAAACTGGACAGAATACCAAAACACCAGTGATGTAAAATATCAATCTCAAAGTGAAAATGCCACCACTAGCATGATCCCCACATACGTTGGCCCTAGCAGAAACACAAAGCAGTTGTTAATAACTTGTGGCCCCTACTGGTCGGTTAAGAGGAGTCTGCAGTCAATGATAGTATGAAACACGAGGTTAATAAAATAGGTTTTGATAAATTTGTGAATGATGATTGGTTAGTATAATAACCACAGAAACAACAGGAGAGTTATAAGTACTGGTAGAACGATACGGTACGACCATTGGTGTCCTGTTGAAGGTAATGAAGGGTGTGTGGTCTTAGCCACTGTCGGTGGCTCTTAGCATTAAGTCATGGTTCCTTTGTCGAAGGGCTGAGGACTTGAACAAGGATGCTCCCTGTCCCGTCTGCAGTTTGATATATTTAAAGACCCAATATGGAAGAGCAGCCACCGTCTTAGAGAGCTTACTTTCCAGAATCTTTGCAATATGGATACTTTTTTTAAACAAATTGTGTCATAAAATAATAATAATAAATAAAATACAGCACAGAGAAGAAAAAAACATTTTCCTGTCTGTTCCCCAACTTGGTAGAACTGTATTTTACACATGAAAACACACTCACCAAAGGCAGGGTTTCCTCCGGGGTTGAGAGTGACTCTGAAGGCTTGATGCCAGGTGCGTCGGCCAGGGGGAGCGTCACATGGGTCAATGTAAAGCAGAACACCTCCAAAACCCAGTTCAGACAGTAGGGATAGCTGGACGCACACAAACATACAAAAGGTACGATGAGTAAGAAAAAGAGAGTGACACATCCATTCTCTCACAGACAAGTGCAAGAATATGTGACACAATACTTTAATGGGAGCAGGAGAAATACAGTGACTACTCACACCTACACACAGACACACACTAATAAAAAAATTATAGATTTTTAAAATAGATTTTTTTCTTGAAAACCAGTTGGTTGTTTTGGAACAAGCTAAAAACCACACGGACATATTATCACATATAACATTTTTAATGGATACTTGTTAGCAAAAAAACCTCTTTACACATACTGCACATCTCCAACAGGGTTGGCTCTTTAGTGGGTATATGCTATAGCTCGTTGTTAACTCTGTCTCTCATTTGGTGCTGAGCAGGTAGATTAGCCTCTGTTTATCAGAGATCCCTTTGCTGCTTGAAATAGGACAGATGAGAGTGATAAGACTGAACAGAGGAGGTCAGAGAACCTTCATCATGAAGAATGCCCCTTTTTACATTAGTCACTTGATCCATTGTCACACACACAAATATAACGTTTATAATAATTCAAACAGAGTTTGGTCAAACATGAGTTATTGTACTGTATCTGAGATCATCTTATTGCACCGGCAGACACACAGTATTTTTTGTTTCCACCAGCATTTGATAAGTATTATCATAATGTATAGTGTTTTATGAACTGTAGGGATCACATGCACAGGGATGTCAATGTAAACACCAGAGCTGGGAAGTAACGAAGCACAATGAACGTTTTACTTTACCTAGCTAGCTAAAAAGAAAAGAAACTCATAATTTCAAGCCAACTATCTTCAGTTTTTCTATTTTTAAGTCAAACTCAAATGCTGAAGTTTTGAAATCAACTTTAAAAAGTTTTGCTGACATTAAAAATTTACTTTCTTCTCTATAAAAACTTAATTCCGTATTTAACTTTTTTTTATGTCATTATTATTTTAAAAAACAATGAGCTTTGAACCCAATTTTTAATTATTTGATGCATGAAATTGTAATAGTTACAACTGAAAAAATGTTTCCATATTGTCCAATCCTAACTAAACTAAACTTGGTGGACTATAAAAGACTACTACTACTACTAGTAGTACTAAGGAGTGCTGCTTCTCTCTGAGACTGCCCCCTTTGCTTTATTTTTTTCCTCACACCACAACTGGCTATATGTTAAATGCTTCTCGTCTAATATTAATCAGATAGATGAATGTCCATTTATTAAAAAAGAACTGACATCCTGCTTATCATGAAGGGAATGTTTGTTTATATGACTGGTTGTTTTCTTCATGATGATCAAAGGTCACACTGTGTTGCTGTTTAAATAGCCAACATCACTGGTAATAATAGAGAAGAGTTGCTGGGTGGGACGAAGTGTGCTGCAGCTGCCACTGTGCAGAGCAGTATTTCATTGTTGTCCATGGGAGATGTAGCGTCCTTGTTTTTTATGAGCGTAGATGACTATTTTATTGAATATGTGACACCAGCCACGGTCATTCTCCTCTCATCACAACTCTGTCCTTCACTGGAAAACAGGGACACTGCGTGCACACACACACACACACACACACACACACACACACACACACACACACACACACACACACACACACACACACACACACACACACACATTGACACACTCTCTCCACTTATATGCACACAGGAAATACACACAAAATCACCCACTTACAATAAAACGTGTTAGTGCAGAGGTTTTCATGCATGTGCAACACACACACCGTGTAGGCAAACTGTGTGGTCTGCACACACTTTTGCACATTCACACAGACGCACACGCACTCATATGTGGTAACTCATACTTTTGCACACTTTCTTTTATAATAACATGGTGGCAGTAGTCATAAACATATGCACATGGCATTCACAAGGATGTTCACAAATCTTAACACTGTGGCGATTGGAAGTCACAGATTATAATGAGAAGCAGGGATGGAGCCAGAAGTTGTAAACATTCAGGGCTTAGCCCAAACCTTGGGGGCAGCCAGGGGCATGCTCCCCTGGGGAGATTTGTTTTCCCCATTTACAGCAGCTATATACACTATTTTTTTTCAAGTCATCTGAGATTACAGAATGCTTAAAATCATCTTGTTGCACATACATCCTATTTGTATCTAATTGTTCTCCAGCTGTCTCCATCATTCTGAAACCAGAACACAACAAATGTTGGGAGTAATTTTCACTCTTCCCCCTTAAAAGAAGCCAAAATTCTCTGATGTTATTTTGAAGTTACATACAATTGGTAGAGTAGGAATTTGTCGTAAACAGCATTACTAATCTTGGAACATATTTCTGTTCAACTATGCTTGAGTAGAGTTCACAGAATGAAAGTTTACCTGATCAGTCTGCTACATGTGACCCCATATGCCAAAATACTGTAATAGATGGCCATATTTCCTCAGTAATAGAACATTTGCTGTGGGTCATTCAGAGATAAACAAGAGGGAAATGAAAAAAAGGGGAATTTTAAAAGCCTACAAGATTCGGGTCTGAAGCCCCAGAAACCACCCCACTGCAATATACTGATATAATAAAAATATATAGTCAAATTAGTTTGCATTACAGTTTCTTACAATGCCCTAATGTAACAAAAACACTCGGAATTAACTCTTATTGTACATCATAAAATAAAATTGTTTTATTTTTAAGTATAACTACGCCTTCATAATAAAACACATGGGGAGCTATTATTTATTTAACCCTTTATTTTACAAAGACACACACGTGATGATGTCAATGAGAATGAGCTGTATATCAAGGAGCTTAGCCGGGGTTAGGGTTAGCACCCTAACGACCACTTTATCATAGTTTCTCAACTGTAAGAGTACCCTGGAGGGTCCTTTTGCTTTTCTGAACATGGGGGCAACGAGGTCCACCAGTGTCCACACGTGTAGCATTCATTGTGTCCAAGAAGGACATCTGATCATCTAGTTGGTGTTCATAAACTCTCCACATGAGGAAAATAATTCCTCTATGGGACTGAGGAATGGATCGCAAGGTGGAAGGAAATGTGAAAACCATCCCAGGATGGGCTGTAAACCAGTCTGTGCTGGGAGAGATTCATACAGTGATAGCAAAGGCTCATCACAAACAGAAACTGTATGACATTCACACACCGATGGCACAGCATGGGAGCATTTTGGGATTCAGTATCTTGCTCAAGGACACTTTGACATACAGTGGGAGCAACCAGGGATCAAACCAACAACCTTCTGATTAGTGGACAAAAATCTAGAAAAATTTTAATATTTGCTCAGTGTTATAGCAGAATGTAGCAAATTAAAGTATGATTTGCAGGTCTGCAAAGAGGAGACTTGTGGGTACCCATAGAACCCATTTTCATTCAGATATCTTGAGGTCAGAGGTAAAGGGATCCCTTTGAAAATGGTATGCCATTGCTGAAATTTAGCCTTTGGAGCTGGTACCAATGGATGCATTAGGTCATCTAATTTCATATATATATGTATAGTATCTTCTCTCTAGCTTTAAAACGGAGCCCTCTACAGCCTCTGAAAGACAGTGTGGAGTGGAAGAAGTGGGGATAAAGGGCTGGCACTTGGGCTGGTTAATCAGATTGCCCCTGCTGACCGTGTGGAAAGTTTTGTAAAAGTGAACTCAGTATTGAGAAATGTGAGTAAAAAACTGTAATGGAACTACATGAGTTAAGCTAACATGGTCAAAACCTGTGTGTATCAAACATGAACCTCACTGTATGTATAACATTGAGCCTGCAGTCACCGTCACACACTCATTAGTGAGAGTACAAAGCTCATCAATCATTCGTCCCCATTTATATGTAAAGGGCGATCATTTCTCTCAGCTGCTGACACACAGACATTATGAAGCACACCTGATCAAATTTGTCACAAACTGTGGGCGAGGAGGAAAAATGGGTCAGCAGCCTGTTGCTGGAAGGGTCCCATGTGACAGGAGGCGCAGTCTCATTTAATGGAGTTTTAAGAGTCTAACTGGGTAAATGTAAATGCAGTATGGTGACCCCTCTTTATTTCACTCTGCTTTTTTTGGTAACCTCCATTTACTCCTGAAATGGCTCATTAGCCTGTCATTTATCACTAACCTCACACTCAGAAGCAGAGTTTTGTTCAATGAATGAAGCAAAGGAAACAAGGATAAAAATAGTTTTGGTAAATTCAGGGCCTGTATTCATTAAACTGCTAGAAGTGAAATTTTGACACAACAGTCCTGACACAAGGTCCTCTAAGTAGCTTTTACCAGAACTTTCAACAGCAAAATATATCCAGGTATATAGACTGTGTGCATAGCACTGGGTAAATGTTGAGATTGTTTTGTCAAACTACTATTTCCACATCCGAGGATGGACTATACAATATGGGGATGAGAAGTGCTGTGGATGGCTCTGCAGCCGTTACATTGCTCTCTTCAAACCACCAGACTCCTTTGAGAAAAACAGTAATTGTAGATGCTCTACCGCTGCTTCGATCTGAACATTAGTTTGGATCTGGACTAATGTGTTAAAACACCAAAGTCACACAATAACACATACAAACCAACTAATGGAGACAGCGGTGGACTGGTAACTCCTGTATGTAAGGTAAAATTACAGTTTTTTTTACAGTTTGGTAACTTTAGATAAATACCTCATATAACCTCAATTAGAAAAACAACCCTTCAAAGGAATGCGCATCAGTGCATAAAATGATGAATAAATTAAACCTGATTCTGATGATTTCATTTATAGAAGTTTCGTCCATCTTGGCTTAAAAGTTGGGCAGCAAAGTGACAACAACAATACAATCCAAAACTCTAGTTTTTTCACATAGTAATTCTTTGACATTTGATACATACATATTTGAAGTTAATTGTTGTGTTAAGTGCTTGTGGTAAGACGCAAAATATATTTTTTCAAAATGTATCATTTCAATATTAGTAATTGAACATATCCACCTTTTTCACCACAAACAGTCAGATTAGGTTTGTTTACTGCACAAAGCAAGAAGTAATGGAGGTGCTTTCAGAGTTTTTGGTTGAAATAGGTTTTGCACTAGTCCTTACATCAAAACCTCTAGCGTAAGATGTTATCAACAGTACAACACTGTATAATTTGTTGTCAGTATTTATTCAGTCAACTGACATACATTGATATGATTGTGTCAGAAGCCTTGTACAGTATACATTTCCATTACTCAATATTACAGTCCACATGGAGTTTGTATTCAGGTTTGTATAATTGAATTACTGTTAATTTAATAGAAAGTGAAGATACATTCATCAGTAATTAAAATGTAAGTGGATGTTTATGCTTTGATTAACTGGATTGGAATTTATATTTTTTCTGTCATATTCTAATTGATAGGAAAACTGCTTTGAGCTAAACGTGGCACACATCCAAGCGGGAACAGGCCTAATCAATCAATGCATCGCTAATGTTCTTTCCTATGAAAATGGATTCAGACATCTTTGCACTGAAAAGTTGCAGATACAGGAGTCAGGTATGATAAATTTATGGCAAAAATATTTTAAAGAATTTGTGATGCATGACTAGCCATATAAACAAGGCCCAGTTCAGTGTACAAATCCCTGTGCAGGAGGCTGGAGTTGGTTTCTTCAAAGGGTAGTGAGCTGTAGCATTAAAGTATATTAAAACACCCAAAATCATTTTAGGAACTGATTTCTTTGCCATACCTTGCACTTGCACTTGCACTTATTTTAAAGATCAAAAGATCTCATTCATCAGTGGGTGAATATTCCTACTGCAGGATTATAGTATCAGGTAGATCTCAAGTACAGCTCTAGTATCTACGTATCAGCAGAGCAGAGCAGAGCAGTGGCATTCTGCAGAGCTTTGATTTCATCTTACCTTGTATAGCAAAGGCGCTTGGCCAAGCTTGACCATGGCAATCTGGTTGGTGAGGTTCAGGCTGTCTTTGGCTCTCCTCAGGTCATCCACACTGCCATACTGGACATCCACCACCTCCCCCTGGTAAGGAGAAATGTGTGTTTATATACTATATTCATCTTGTGCCCTATCCATTCTCTGTGTATGGCCTCACTCTGAATTAAGGCAGGGTATTGAACCTTGATACTTTCAGAACAAAATGTGCCCTTATAGAGCAATGGTTCCCAACCTGGAGATCAGGATCCCCACTAGGGGTTGCCAAAGCTTCACAAGGCGTCGTAAAGCCTTCTTGATTTTAAGGGGTCTAAAAAAAACTAGTTATTTTGAATTTAGTTTAGATTGACCTGAATACAAGATATATTCACAGAGCCTTCACTCTCGGCTAAACAGCCTTGTTCAAGCTAATAAAACAAGGCCAAGCATCAGGGAGAAGAAAACAGTCAAGAAAGTAAAACAAAAGAAGCCTATTAAGTACGTATGGCTCTAAAGAAAAAATATCCATAATTCAGAGTTCCTACAAATATCAGGAAAGCTCATCTCTGATCAATTTACACAAACTTCCTGCAGTTATTGTGTTCACTGTTTGGGTTCATTGTACAGTTAATCAGTTGTTCTCTACTGTTATTGACATGTATTGAATTCCCAGTCCCAAGACTTAACATGAATTGCTTTAACAGATTTGGTTTAAATTTGGTCTGAGCAGTCCAGTTTTAACTTTGCTAAATTGGTACTACATTTTATCAGGGAAAGTTCATCTTTGGCTGCCCATGTTAAGGGACTCTGCCAACTATTAAGTGTCAGTTAACTATTGATTGGGAGTACTAGTCAGCCTCTGAAAACTGTTGCATAACATCCTCTGAGGCTCTTTTAAAGTGTGAGAAAATAATCTGGATGACGAAGAAATGATGAAAAGACAAAATTCATAAGAAGAAGCCTCATGAACAACTTGGAGTTGCAGCGTTTGAAAGATGATGTTAACAATGTAGCCACATAGGGGCAAACAAGAGGACACTACAGGGTTGCATTGTGGGAAATGAAGGATCCAGAGATTGACTAATTAACTAAGTCTGGATAGCTCAACCTCTGCTGCTTTGATTTCGCCCCCATCAATTTGGTTTGCTTATCTAGAACCATCATTCCTTTTAAAATTCCCCTTTAGACTGTGATAGGTAGTTTGTTGGATGAACAACAAATAATTTTTCTGCAAATAATAAATAAAAAGGTTTGGTATATATAGGAAAAATCAGATATCTCATGATAAGATGGTCAGTCTTTACTGTTCATATAAACAACCAACAATAAAGATGTTCCAATTGACAAAGGTTATAGACTTTTAAGAAGTGATTTAATGAATTGCCATTGTGCATGTAATAATTTCTGCTCTAGTCCTTATAATCAATATCATGGCACTGACGAACAACAGAATTATTTTACCACACACTGGAATTACTTTGGCAAAGTGTGTGTTGGCATTTCTGCATGTTTGTGCCTGTTTTTGTGTGTATGCGCATGTGTCTCTGTGTCTGAGCGTAGTGTTAGCATCTATCAAATTAAACTGACCTAGAAGTTGTTGAGGAAAGTCAAAGCATTACTTTTTGGAGTCTCTCTCTCTCTCTCTCTCTCTCTCTCCCCCTCCCCACTCTCTCACTGCATCACCTGGGCCTGATTCATTTTTCATGTGGCCTGGGGGTGAGTGTAACGCGATGCTGCAGTGGAGAGAAAGCGAGGAAGAGCGCCTAGATGTGCGAGGGAGAGAAAGAGAGAGAGAGAGATGGGGGAAGAGAGAGGGGGAGAGCGCACATCTTTTGCATCAGGAGAGCCCAGGAGAGGAGAGCAAGAGAGATTTATCGCTCCTTCCTGCATTTGCATCATAAAAGTCCTTCATTTAAACTGCAGACCATGGAACAGTACAAGACGCAGCAAATTGAAATACAGGAGAATCTCTGTACGCACTGAGATGGTGCTGCTTGAACTAGATCCATCTCTCTCTTTCCTCCCTCCCCTTTTTTTCCTTTCGTTTCATCTCAGCGAGATAATGAAATTAACAGTGTAAGCGGCCTCTGTCTGGCTGAAGCTGTGAGCATCATTCTCCTGTTGAGATGATGAATTTCTCTTCTTAATCCAGCCAGGCATTCACACTAGATTTTGGTGGAGATTTTGAAGGATGATGAACAGAGCAGTATGTGTTGGACTTGATTAATTCAACCATTTCTACCCTAGAAAGTTAGAAACATTTTGTCTGCCACAATAGCATTCTGGTGTTTTTAAAACAGCATTTAGTCCATTGTGAGAGATTAAAACTCTTCAGTGAAAGTCCTGCTGATGAAATCCTTTATTGGGGGACTGGAGTTTCCTTACACTCCTGAAGCTGATGAGTAAAGCTACATCCATACCACATCATAACAGAAAATCAGAAGAAAATTAGTCTTAACTTTAGAAGACATATTTTTAGTTCTACTCTGACCACAAGTAAAAGCATTAAAATTTTCTTAACTTAAATTAGTCCTGTCTCAGTCGATATTTAGGACAGCTCCTAACCTGTTAGGCAGGCATTACCAGGCAGAGACAATGAGACAACATGAGAGGAAAATGCCTTTTGATTGCTTGATGACAATGATCTTATTACAATACTGTTTTTTTCTGTTTTTTACTGACTTTGTGCAGCTGCAGAGGAAAAAATATGCCATGTCTACCGAAACCAATGTCCCCACAACTTACACCAACAACACTTTATTGTAAAGCAGTGGTTCCCAGCCTTTTTCATTAAGGGAACCTTTTTTAATCACAGAGTAAACTGTCAGCCCCTGACAAAGTGACATATTCACTTCACCAGCCAAGAACTGAAAATTCAGGGAGGTCTGTGGCAGTGGTCCCAAACCTTTTTCCTTAAGGGAGCCCTTTTCTATCATTGAGTAAACTGCCAACCCCGATTAAGTGACATTTAATGGATATTTCATATTATAGTCAACGTGTTACAACGAGTAACTAAAATATTTTTAAGAACTTTTTATACAATTCTCCCTCTGTATTATGTATTATGTTTTATCCTCTCTGACACGCCAAGTGCCTTCACTCAACTTGACTTGAGTGAAGGCACTGTGAATATAGCTTGTGTTTAGATCTTTAAAGTTTATCTTAAATAATAATCTAAACTTTAAAAATAACAATTCCATTCAGTTGAAATTAACAAAATGCTGAGACTTAGGACTACTGTCTCAATTTTTTAAGTTTTCTTACACCCCTTAAAAACAAGAAGGTCTTGCGACCCTCCCTGAAGCTTTGGCAACCCTTAGTGGGGGTTACAAGTTACAGTAGAGCTATAATACTTGAGAGGTGCATTTGTATTGTCATAGTGTATTTCCCAACACTGGGCCACATTACATTACAGAAGGCACATAAAGTAGAAGATATTATGTGCTCCATGGAGAGGTGCTCTACTGGCCCACCAGCATCTCAGTCAAATGATCTACTGTTTTAATCTGTATATACCTGCATTAATTTTTTAAGCCAATAGTGGCCAGAGTGGCCTGCCAGCGTTTACCTGCAGTCTGATATGTTAACGAGGTTTTGGAAAACCAGTGGTTCCCGACCTTTTGTGATAAGACATACCCCCATAGCCCAGTAGTCTGATGAACTCCAGTGCCAATTCATTAACACCACCATTTATGTACCAAATAACAGTCCCCCCAGGATTTTGCGGCCCTTGGGGTTGTTGCCACCAGATATAACCTAAGATGGCGCCACAAACTCCCCCAAATACAGACAGTTTATTAAATGCCCGACCAGAGAGGAGAAAACACTGGATCACTGTTACACTACAGTCAGCAGAGCATATTACGCCGTCCCCCACGCCGCACTGGGCCTCTCTGACCACGTCATGGTCCACCTGATTCCCTCATACAGGCAGAAATTAAAGCCCTGTAAACCTGTTGTGAGGACATCAAAACAGTGGACCAGTGTAGCTGCGGAGGATCTCCAGGCGTGTTTGGACTCTACTGACTGGGATGTTTTCAGGACTGCTACCAACAGTCTGGACAAGTTCACAGAGGCTGTGCCGTCATACATCAGCTTCTGTGAGGACTGCTGTATACCATCACGCACCAGGGTGAGTTATACCAATGACAAACCCTGGTTCACTGCCAAATTCAGTCAGTTATGGTTGCAGGAGGAACAAGTGTTCAGGAGTGGGGACAGGGACAGGTTTAAGGAGTCAAAGTGCAAGTTTAGCAAGGCAGTGAGAGAAGTTAAATGTCAGTACTCTGAGAAACTCAAACACCAGTTCTCAGCCAATGACTCTGGTTCTGTCTGGAAGGGGCTCAGACAGATAACCAACTACAAACCTAAAACCCCCCACTCCATCAATGACTTTCACCTGGCAAACGAGCTGAATGATGGTGCTATCCATTTGTCTCGTGAACTCGGAGCCCAAGTTGTTCTGCTGCGAGAACGTGACGTCATTGCCTGGCTTGTACCACTTGTCTTTGGGCATTACGAGTCGGAAAGAAGTGCAGCAGCTGTCTTGTTATTGCTTGTGGCTCTTCTAAACAAGCTCAATGAGAAATTATAATATGTTTTTCTACAGAAACACTAACATTTCAAGTATTTCCGTTATTACAAGTCTTACATTTCAATAATAATTTGCCATTTTCGCCTGTTTCAATTTCAATAAGGGCTGTGGTGTTTGTCTCGAGCCACCAGGGGCAGTGGCAGGCTAGTGTCATTGTTAGCTACATTAGCCTATTTAGCAAACCAGCTCGAAAACAAAACTTTACATTGTATTGCACGCAGGGCAACACCGTGCAATGCATAAATTGGTGATCGGACTAAAGCAGCAATGTAAACAAGTGTGTAAGAGCATTTGAAATCGACATTAAAACGACCAACGTAGTACAAATACAAAGAAAATACATCTCAATATGGGCGCTGCCATCTTTGTTTTGCGGGTCGTACGTGCCCCCCCGTTTAGCTCGGTGTACTGCGAGGTACCCCGAGGTGGACAGCTGCAATTCCGACCAAAAGGGGGTGTGTCTCGGTGAAACGTCGCGAGATAGCTGCGAGATTTACATTTTCCAACTCGGGTT